AGCTTTCTGGAAAGAAACATACAAATCAGTGTGCAAGATCAAGACCAAGACAGCAACACAGAACAGCCCTGACATGACACCAGCAAGCAAACAAGTTGCTTAACATATCGGTAAAGCACATAGGATGCTATGATGCTGAATGACCATGGGGGGGGGGGGGGGGGGGGGGTCACAGCAGCCATATGTCAGGCCAATCTGGAATGTCAGGCTTCAGTAACCAGCAGAACCAACACTAACACATTAGTGAATGAGGATGATCTGTGACCCCTGTTATCATAGTTATTGTACCATACACACCATGGTCAGCTGCGCTCATGTTCCAGGCCACTTGTGAGTTTGTCATACCCAATGCCTGCTTTATAATGGTGTTTCACCAGTGCCTCCTGGTACATGTATGATAATTGCCAGTGTAACGACTCCCAGGTTGTAGCAAAAACCAGAGCTTTAAGGCCTTTCTTGTTCATATCAAGTGCATGTTAAAAATAGACTGTGTATGCAGTATTATTCCATCACTACATAAAACACTATTGGGTGACATTAAGCTTCATTTCCAAACATCCAAGACATAGTAATATCATCCAGACTTTGAGTGTCACTGGTTGACATACTTCCCCATGACACAACCAATTTGCAAAATGCTTGACCCAACCATTTTCTACATTTTATGTGAATGTGACTCTAAAAGGAAGTGATCTCTCATGAATCTGAAAACCAAGATTTTTAGGTGTCATTGCACCAGAACACAACCTGAAATCAAATATGTGATGCTGTTTGTCAAGTGCGACATCCACCAAGTATTATGACAATCAGTAAAGTTGGTGTAAAATGGCATGCAAGCAATGGCACATAGAAATTGTTTGTTCCACTCCACATTTCTATACCACTTCCATCTTAGTTACACCATAAAAGATTGTGGACATCAAGTTCAATATGACAAAATTCCTCAACTGTTTATTAATTGAGAGTGAAGATGCCTTGAAAATATTTACAGTACAGTCTCATTCCTTCCATCATTAACCAACATTATATTGCAACAAATGATCTGTTAACAACCTGCATGTGACAACCATGTGACAGGTAGTCTACTGCAAACCACAGCTTCAGGGTGTAGCTCCCCTTCCTGTTGGGAGGGCTCCAGCCCCAGCCCTGATTAAGTGATGAAATTGGGTCAAATGTTGTGAATCAGTTTGTTTGTAGTTTGAAGCTACAGCTTATAAAATATTTCCTAGCTCAGCCTCCCCAACATATTTCGTAAAACTACATCTCTGCCAGACTGTGGAAAACAATGTTACAGTGAACATTTCTGCACAGCAACCACATTTGATACATGTCCCACGGGTATATACACCACAGATCCAGGCACTCAGAACTTGATGTATGGTCAACAGTAATTTTTTAGGGCATGGAGCTGATGTTGAAAGGAATTAGGATATTGCCCAGTCAAGGTCAAGTGAGCATATATTTCAAACTCAACAATAGCTATAGAATGTAGTGCATTTGGTCTGATCAGTTCACCATACCCCAACATGAGTTAAGTGCACAATTGCCCCAAAGGCAACCCATTTATGATGTCTTGCAGACTCGTTCGGTGGCATCCCTGCAAAGCTGTCATGTCTGTTGAATGGGACCTGTTCCCCAATGTACATTTGACACACCTCAATGTGATTTTGCCTGAAGGTTGTGAGCTGCCCTTCATAGCAGCATGTAACTCCAAATGGAGGCCCTAGGTCATTATTGGCAGAGACACTAACACTGAACTATCCATAATATTGTGGCCCTAGGAAATGGGATGTACAAGCATAATGAACTCCAGATGTCAATGGTTGGTGATGGCAGGCAATGAAATGGGGTGTTTCATTGTATAAAATACATGCATTTCTGAGAGTAATTGCAAAGAAGATGCACCCATCATGGCAATTTAAGTGTTTTGTTATGCTGCCCCAGCTGTGGTCAAACCACACAGCTCTGTGGCATACCTGAGCATGCAAGTTTATCAGACCCAAAAACTAAGCATGGTAACAACTACATCATAAAGATAGTCATTACTGCACTGCAGTTTGCAGCTTCATAACCCAAACGTAAAATCCGAGGGTTGATTTGTCAGGGAACATATGGATGTCCGTAATGCTGGAACTTACCGAAGTTTTGGGTACGTTCCCCCTCAGCGTGATGTTCTTGCCAGCCTTCTCATTCTGTATCCTCATGCGCTGCTTGGCGACCATAGTTGCAGATGGTTTGTCAAGAAACTTCAAAGAGCGCCTAGGATTTATATCCCTCTCAGACCAGTGGCTTCACAAGCACGCCAGTACACAGGCCGACACCGTTTACGAAAGAGCGCTATCGCCGCAGAAGCGTAAACTCTCGCGTCACAACGGTGAACTCTCAGTGATTTCAAAGTTCGCAGGAAAATAGATCACAAAGAAACACATACTCGCGTGAGAATTATCCTCCGGTCATTTCGTTCAAAGAGTATCTAAATATTTAGGGAGAACTTTTTCAAGCCAACTCATTCTGCTGTAATTCATCAGGATTTATTTTACAATGGACTAGGCAATGTTCATACGCGTCCACGTCAACCGCGTCGTCAGAGTACAGCAGGAGCGTTGTAACTAAATAGAACATACCGTTAAATTAGCATCCGTTTATCCCCATGCACCCAAACATTAAAACACATCACGATTTTGTTGCGATTTCAACGGACAGACCAATAACGTTGCAACATATCGAGCAACATATCGAGTTTGCAACAATCACAACATTGTTGTGGTTCCAACAATGTTGTTAAGACGATTCAATGAAAAAAACTGCAGCATTCTGCTCATTTACAAAAATCCAGAGGCACAGGACACAGATTCCGGGAGCACATTCCCCGCGCGTGTCGACTAGCATTCTTTGTGAGAGCACGCCCCCCCCCCCCCCCAGTGTTTTTGGCCGGTAGCTACGAAAAGCATACGTAAGAGACGACTATCACACAAAGACTATCTTTTCATCTTTTAGCATTATTTTACTGAAGCAAACTTTTTACTACGTGGTCTGAAAAAATTAAAACGAGTACACAATATCATGT